GCTAATAATTACTGCTATTAAAGAAAAAGAAATCCAAACATAAAATGATTAGAAAAATTGCATTGTTTTTACGATTAAAATATATAAATTTCAACTTATGCAGCGTGTTAAAACGAAAATAAATATATAAATAAATGTCGTTTAAAACATGTTGAACGAGTAAACTTAGAAGATTCGATTAAATCTATCTTAGCAAATTAACGTATGAGATTAACAATTAAAATTAAATTTACGTTAATAATTAAAATTAATTATTATTATAATAATATATATTATTATTATATTATACTAGCAGCATGGCCTGGCGTTGCCTGTGCTTGATTCAAAAATCATACGACTCATACAGCAATCGCTATCACTTGACTTAAAATATGTTTGCCCTTCCTTGCCTTTAAAGGAGTGCCCTTTGCCATGCTGATGTTGCTACATGCTTTACTTCTTGCCTATCTCAAACTGCGAATTTTTTCTAAGCTCTATTCTAAACATTAAATCTGTTACAAAAAAAGAACTAAACAAAATGAACACAAAACGATCAGCTTTAAAAAAGGACTCGTAACTGGAAAAACCGAATGAAAAAAAAGAATGTTAACAACAAATACTTTTTTTTCACACCCAACCCAGTTCTGCGGAATCAGAATCAACGTTGAGTTTAAGCAAGCGAATGAGCCAATTGGAGTAAAGTGCCATGCAGATTTAAATTTTTCCCACTTGTGACGAATGCAGCTATCGATTTTTTTTCATGCTAGGATGCTAGTTAACATCCGTGTCAGTCAGCTGTTGACTCTCACGCTAGCCAATAGAATCTTCCTGCCTATTCGTGGCAGCCATCTATTGGCTCTCACTCTGACCAGTAGAAAATGGCCAGAAACTACATGCAAACTGCCGTAGAAGCATGAAAAAATCGATTATTTCCACTATCGATGGGAGTTGGGAAATGCAAAGTCGGCCTCGTCCTTCCTGCTAACTTGGAGCATGTGCATGTAAATTTTGGTGCAAATCCGTTAAAAAATTGCGGCCATTGCATTCGTTACACACACACACACACACACACACACACACACACACACACACACATCCTGCCTTTTATAGATAGAGATTAATTTTATATATTGATATATATTATATTAATTATATATATATTAATATGTATTATAACAATGAATTATTCATACAAAAAGTAAATTAGTAAAGTTAATGATATAAAATGGCAAAATCCCTTCGCTAACAAAATTTTAAAGATACTTTAACCTACCAATCAATCGATGAATATTATGATCCTTGTTTTTTAAAATTATAAGTTGTATATTGTCTTTTTTGAATACGCAAGTACTTTCGACTGTACATTCTATCATCTTCAGTCATAGAAATTATTTTGTTTTTGGTAAAAGTCATGTAGCATCCGAAACGAAAAAGTATAAAAGTTTGTATCCGTTATTAATGGACGGTAGAACAAGGATTGGCAAAGATAGCGAAAGCACAAATTGTAATGTAGTGTTACTGACTCGTGGTAAGTAATATGCACCCATCTCTGTTGGGTGTGCAGTTGCTAATACTTTTATAATGGCTTCGCAACAAAAACTGTAAACAAGAGATCAGTTTCTGTCTATATCTCTCAGATGTGGTATTATGGTTACTTACATTATTTATATTATTCGGATTGTTATCCTCATCTTCATTGCCATATTCACAAATAAATATAAAGGAGAAATAGGCTGATCCCTTAAGGAAAGACTGCAAGAACATCGGAAGGCGGTAACACGATGGGAAATAGAAAAACCAGGTGTAGATGACCTCATACGGGGGTGGGGAGTGAGATCACCGCCCCCCCCTGTGGGATGAGGTTCAAATAACAGACAGAGAACATCACAGGATAATACGAAAACTTAAGGAATCAACACATACGCTAAGCCTTAGCCGTTCAAGCATAAAAATGAATAATATATAGGAACCAATAATAAGGAGTGTTAAAGAAAAGCAATGAATAACAACAGAAAATTGCACTATATGCTCTGGTAAAAAATATATAATAATAATAACAGAAAAAAACTGAGACATCCAGAAGAGGCATGGCACGTAGAACTAGAACAATCTACCGTGGAGGACGAAAAAAAGTTTCGGTTTGAAATTTCAATCACCTGAAGAAGGCCGCAGCATACAACGGCGAAACGTTGTGGATATAGCAATAAAAATGAGGATAACAGTCGGAATAATGTAAATAATCTATGAGATTATTTATTTGGTTTTCTCCTCCAACTGAATTTAAATCTTCAAGGTTTTTTGTTCTAGCTTTAGCTGCTAGTATCCTAAGCCACACTCGTGCGTATTCATAGTCATCCAACGATAATTGTTCGCTCGATTCTTTAGATATCGGCGACGCCATTGTAGTGTAGTGTTAATACTTCCGGTAAGTCAGTAAGACTACACCTTTTATGTGCCGTGTCTTTTCAGGACGTAGGCGATCATGGCTCTCCATGCCCTCCTTTTCCTTGTAGCTCTCAAGAAGCTTTGACTTTTTGTTATTTCTTCCAGACCCTGTTCTGCGTCCTGGGTATAACAATAAGATGATAAACTACGTCCAACACCAAGGCCTCTGATCAGGGGGTTTTTGATGAGCGTGGAATCACCTCTTAATTGCTGGTGTTCCCAGGTCTACCCTGACCAGGGGTGGTAGCACCTGTTAGGGTTCCAGCTATGGGAAAATAGTTAACCCCGAAACTGAGGTAAAAAGCATTATATAAGTATAAAAATAGGTTTTAATACTAGAAATACTTTGTAAAAAATTATTACCCGAAATATATTTTTGAAGGAAAAAAATTATTACCAGAAATATATTTTTGAAAAAAAATATTACCAGCCGTATGTTTTTGAAAATTATATTACCAGCTATACATCTTTGAGGAAGAAATATTACCAGAAATAGATTTTTGACAAAAATATTATGAGGAAAAAAGTTGTCGGCATTAAATAACCCATTGGGGTTGATATGCCGTAAAAACAAACCAAACCAAACCAGACCCTGTTCTGCCATCCACTTGCTTAAGCCCGCTATGTCACATGTTACTTTCACTTTCTCTTTCCACCCTGTCCGCCTTGTTTTCTCATTACGTGTCCCAGAAATTTCGGCAGCCCCTTTCTGATGTTAAGTATGAGTTTTCTTTTTGTTTTCATCCTCTCCAAAACGTCATCGTTGCTCACACGCTCGGTTCATGAAATTCTTATCATCCTTCTGTAGAACGACACCTCCGCCGCCTCGAGTCTTTTTTTCATCTTTGAGGAGACCGTCCAACATTGGCTGCCGTAAAGGAGGACAAATATCACGTAGCAGTTCATTCTTTACTTTGTTACTAACGAAATCCTCCTGTCTCGTAATACTCTGACTGGCTTTTCGAATGCGTCTTTGGCCATCCAAATACATCTTCGGATCTCAGCGTCACACTTACCGTCCTCTGTCAGCACACTTCTCAGATATTTAAATTTCCGCATCTGCGTGATTTTAGCGTTCACGAACCATACTAACACCCGCAAATGATAGAAGATTGTGGAGAACCATGATCGCCCACATCCTGAATGGGACGCGACTGATTGAAGAAGACGTATTCAAAACAAATCATTGTCGTAAAATTACAAAAACGAATGGATCCATTTACGTATCCCCCTTCTTCCTCTCTCCCCTCACTCTTTTTTCTTTCTTTCGTGTTACTTTCCGATCGCATATTACCTGTTTTCGATCAGGTAGCTTATTGATTTTCTATCGATGCCAATGCTTTACAGCTATTGACGATCGTGTACGGAAAAAAAAAGAAAGAAATAGAAAGAGAAATAGACCGTGGAGGCTGATTCCGATCCGAACGTATTGAGGTGTAGACTGGCTTTTGTGAAAAATCGACACGAACTTTTTGCTTTTTTTTCACACAGAATGATATTCCTTGGCGTTTTAAAAGAAAAAAAAAACGTATGTCTCTTGCAGTAAACAAGAGTCAAGGTCATGCCCATGACGTGTGACTGATTTTAACCAATCAAAAGTTGTTCTGCTTTCTGAGTCGCGAATAACAGCCTGGTTAATGGCGACGAAAGCAAACGGGTGGCCAATGAAATTCTACCGCTTTTTGGCGTGCAATTAATGTGTACCTGTGTGCGTTAGTTGTATGGGCCCGTGTGTGTATTTATTTCTATGTGTGAAGCTGCTCTTCTCCGAAACTTAATATATTTAAATTAAATAACGTAATAGTTTTGGGTATTTTTCTTTTAATGTTTATTGATTTCTACCGTGAAAATTTGAATGTATTACTGCGATAGTTGGAGGTTCTTCTGTGACAGGTGGAGATTCTACTGTGAAAGTTAGAGGTTGTACCGTGACTGCTGGTGGCTCTAGGGTGACTGTTGAAGATTCGACAGTGACTTGAATGTTCTACTGTAAAAATTGGCGGTTCTGTTGTGACTGTTGGGGATTGTATTGTGACAGTTGGTGGTTTTACTGTGACGGTTGTAGGTTCTACTGAGACTGTTATTAAAGGCTCTGCTGTGACTGTTGGAGGTTCTACTGTGACATTCTGGTTCTACTGTGACTGTTGGTGGTTCAAGTGTGACTTTTGATGATTATACTGTAGCTGTTGGTGGTTCTAGTGTGACTGTTGAAGGTTCAGCTGTGACAATTGGAGGTTCTGTTTTGACTGTTGAAGATTAACTGTGTTCTAGTGTGACTGCTAAACGTTCTATTAACACTTCTACTGTGACACCTGGACGTTAACTCTGACTGCTGGAGGTTCTCGTGTGACAGCTGGAGGTTCTACAGTGACTGTTGGAGGTCCTATTGCGACTGCTAGGGGTACTCGCGTGACATCTAGAGGTTTACAGTGAGTGGTGAAGATTCTACTGTGACTGCTGGTGGTTCTCGTGTAACTGTTGGAGGTTCTACTGTGACTGTTCGGGCTTCTCGCGTCATAGCTGGAGGTTCTATAGTGACTGTTAGAGGTATTACTGTGATTGCTGGAGGCTCCCACGTGATAGGAGTTCTACAGTGACTTTTGGAGGTTCTACAGTGTCTTTTGGAGGTTCTACGGTGACTGCTGGAGGTTCTATGGTGACAGCTGGAAGTTCTACAGTGACTGTTGGGGGTTCTACTATGACTACTGGAGGTTCTCGCGTGACAGCTTGAGGTTCTACTGTGACTGCTGGAGGTTCCCGCGTGACAGCTGGAGGTTCTACAGTGACTGTTGGCTGGTTCTCCACGCTGTCTAAAAGCCGGCCATTTCCCTATTTCAATATAGACACACCAAAGACAACAGATAAATCTCCTGCATTCTGATCTTAATTGATTCGTGTTGGTAATATGCACGCGTTTTGTCTTTGGGAAATAAGATGAGCTAGAGTAAGTATCGCGCTCATTACGGCAGTTTTGCTTCTCATTCGCCTGACCTTAGTCAATCATGTCCCCTGGTGGTTGACCAGCTAAGCATCTGACGCTGACGTGCCAGGATCTCAGCTTGCTTGATGGATCTGTTTTAGTAATAAAAAGGAATAAGTTTATAAAGTCATCTGCACACTATCAATTACTCAAGTCCAATGTGAGAGGACATTTTCAAAACTAAAGATCATAAAGACAAAAGATCATAAAGAAAGTTGCTCTCTGAGGAGAATTTAGAATCATGCATGTAGTTATCCACTGAAAAGGAATTGTTAGATGAAGTGGATTGAAAAGCAATTATTGGCAGATTGGCACAATGATCTAGTGAACACAGACGTTTGCTCTTATTAACATACTGTTTGAATTTAATCTTCGTCGAGTTTTTTTTCTTCAATCCCACCTTTCCTAACAGAATCGTTACTTTCCCAAGCCAACATACACAACAAATATATCAAGAAATCAAAAGAAAACGGTTGAATCCGTGTTCACAACAACCCAAACAATATTTCTACATATGAAAAATTCTCTTCAAACATAACAAGTAAATGACATTATTTATCAGCTGACCCAACGAATATATCATCATCATCATCACCACCACCTTGACTTTTGTAATCTTAGGTGGGAGCTGAATGCAGAAGCCATATTGAATCTTCCCCAAAACAAGTATATATATGAGCATTTTTAAATTCTTTAATTAACAACAACATTTTGATTTTTGTTTATAGATACTTTGTTCTTATAAATTTGCTTCATTTTTGATTTGAAAACGTCTGCAGTGGATGAAATGCATCAGTTAAAACTACATATCCATCCAGAGAGAGATGCACAGACAGATATGAAAGCAGATAGATATATGATTGTCAAAAAGTTTTGACTCAAATCTGACCAAATATCAATATTTAATCTCTTTTTCAAGATCTTTTCACCCCATTTTACTTAGCTTTGTTTACAGTTGTCAAATACCAGAATTGACATTTACCTAACTGAAAATTCTAGTAACTAACAACATTTTGATTTTTTATTGTAAATACTTGGTTCAAATAAATTTGTTTCATTTTTGATATGAAAACGTCCGCAGTGGGTGAAATGCGTTAAAACTACATGCAAATTTCCTATTTTCATATTTTCTTTTTTCATTTATATATATATATATATATATATATATGGGTACGCACATATATATCCAAATTCCTTCTAAATCTTTGAAAACACTCCCCCAAACATTGAGCTCTGATATATGGATGAGTTTAATACACGTTTTCGTTAATTTCCCTGGATTCCCGTTGAATTAAGCTTTGGCCGTGTGACGATTAGCATGTAGGTCAGCTCATCGGTTTCCGCCTCCCCCCCTCTATTTATGCTCTCTTACCTCCATAATATAATTCCTGTAAAGGTACCTTCTTCTATTCATATCTTCCACTAAGTCGCCTATAATGCCCTCTCACTTTTTTCCCCAACTTACCAGTATCCCACTACAAAATGCTACTATAAACAGTTTGAAAATACTGCGATATAAGACATTCTCTGTTTTTGTGTTGGTAATCCGAATTTCTTTATTGAATTGGCAATGAAGAGTTCTGCGCGAATGGGTCATAAAACAATTAAGGTTGGCCCAAGCGAAATGATGAATTACTTATCGGCATTTTATCTTTTAATGTTTTACTGACCCCTGTGTGTTCTTAGATCTGTTTCCATTTTTGTGTATTTCTGTCAGCATGCGTGTATATATGCGTGCGTATATTTCCCCTCCATACATATATTGTCTTACTACGAGGAATTAGTAAACTCATTGAAAACAGATCCAAGAACACATTTTGAGTTATTCTGTAGTTTATTGTTGCCTATCACATCTATTCCTCCCTAAATTTTGTGATTAAGGCGCGATCAAGATATCACCGCAAAAGCTAGCTAAAATCCCGCCCGATAGTGCGGCTTTTAGCCTAGTCGGCCATATAGCAAACTTCATAGGATTAATGACAGGGTTTTTTGGAGGTTGAGTTGAGTCAAAAATTCCACAGTAAAGTCCCTTTCATTAGTTTTGCATCAAATAGATCGCGTGTGAGGTTTTTCCTTTATGAGTAAAACTAGGGACTTCCAAATGTGGCTTTCAACCAAGGTAAGCACATCTCCCTAAAATATTTGCTGGTAAAGTCTTCGCTCTCACTGACGCAACGAAACCCAAGTGCGATTTCGAACGATCAGAGACAACGGTAGCGTAACAGGTGATTTACGTCGCTTACATCATGGAGCGAGCGTATGAGCAACGATGAGGTCTTAAAGAAGTTGCAAACAAGAAGGGCGCTTATAGTTAACATCAGGAAGAGGCAGCTGAGGTTTCTGGGACACATAATGTGGAAGGAGGGCTTGGAGAATCTGATAATCACGGGTCGAATAGAGAGAAAGAGAGTGAAGAGGAAACAACGCGTGACATACGTGGATGACAGAACGTGTTCTGGTGGAGGAAGCAGAGGGAAGGAACTTGTCGAGAGTTACAAGCAGTACAGAGAGATGGAGAGCCATGATCGTCTATGTTCTGAAATGACATGGCACGTAAAAATAAGGATATGGTGCTCTGAGAAACCCGGAAATATTTCCTGGTGAAGTGGTGCAAAACTTTGTCGTTTTTGGTAGTTGACCCCAGCGCCCTCAGTGAAAAAAAATTATCGTTCGACCAAACAACGACCTTTTCTGCGGCATGCTGGAACTCCTCCAACATTTCTCTTCTCTCTGCCAAGAAGTTTTTGCTCGGGGCGCAATTGAGAGCAAATGTCCTTTTGTATCTTGGATCTTGAATGGTTTTCTTTCAAAATCCTCCTGAAAGTCTTATCTAAATATTCAACTCTTTCGCCATCTTTCTCGTGCTTTTTTGTGCTTTGTCTTTTAACCATCTTCTTGACGGCTTCAATGACTCTTCTGTTACGAACGCAATGGTTTTTATTTATTTTTTGGGGAGGTGGAAATGGATTTTGTAAGGTTAATTTGCTCCAATTCAAACGTTTTTTCTACTCTGATAAAACAGTGTTCTATAAGCATCCAAAAGTTTTTAACATTCTTCATAGCAGCCATTTTTAATGCGACAAGTAGACTTGTTTCAATCGCAATAATAAAACAGTAAACAATGAAAACAAAGGAATGTTAAAAAACAACATGCAAAATGTAAACTATTTCTACGAAATGGTATGTTTCAATTTATGCTTAAATAATGAGGTAATATTGATGCCATACCTTGTATCTATCTATTACGAAAAAGATAAAACATTTAATTCTAAGATTCTTCGTATCTATCTATGTATCTTTATTCATTATTCATCTCAGTACGTTTATTATGTATCTATCTATCTGTCATAATTCACTATGTCAGTTTGTTCATTATATAGCTATCACAAGTCATTATCTACCTCAGTCTGTTCATCTATATCTATCTATCTATCTATCTATCTATCTATCTATCTATCTATATATATATATATATATATATATATATCCAATCAGTTCTAATCATTCTATCTATCTATCTATCTATATATATATATATATATATATATATATATATATATATATATATATATATATATATCCATCAGATCTATCTATCTATCTATATATATATATATATATATCCACCTTAATCAGTTCTATCTATCTATCTATCTATCTATCTGTCTGTCTGTCACAATTTATTATCTATGTCAGTCTGTTCATTATCTAGCTATCTATCACAAAACATCTACTCATATCTCTCTCTCTCTCTCTCTCTCTATATATATATATATATATATATATATATATCCACCTCAATAAGTTATATCTATCTATCTATTTCGAGCTGTAGCCGTGTCGATCACCATCTAGCAGACCATAATTAATGCAGTTGGATTAACCCGAATCCGTGCCCTTGTGTCAGTCTTAGATTGTATTGGTAACTACGCATTTGTGTATAAATCGACTGACACATATGAATAATGAATGTCTGTGATATTTTCTTCTTCCCAGGGGCGTAGAGAGATTGTTATTGAAATTAATCGGCAGATGGAAGTTTTGCGATGGTCCAGCTCGCATAATACAAAAGCAGACCATGTTATCTGTTGAAAGAGTGCATTCAAAAGGAAGAGATTAAAAAAAAAACTGCGTCTTATTGGCTGACTAACCAAACAAATATAAACATAGATAGATAGATAGATAGATAGATAGATAGATAGATAGATAGATAAAGAAATGGCTGAGATGGAAAGAAACTGAGATAGATAGATAGATAGATAGATAGATAGATAGATAGATAGATAGATAGATAGATAGATAGATGAAGAAATGCCTGGGATGGAAAGAAAGAAACCGAATGAAATAGATAGATAGATAGATAGATAGATAGATAGATAGATAGATAGATAGATAGATAGATAGATAGATAAAGAAATGGCCGAGATGGAAAGAAACTGAGATAGATAGATAGATAGATAGATAGATAGATAGATAGATAGATAGATAGATAGATAGATAGATGAAGAAATGGCTGGGATGGAAAGAAAGAAACTGAATGAAATAGATAGATAGATAGATAGATAGATAGATAGATAGATAGATAGATAGATAGATAGATGAAGAAATGGCTGGGATGGAAAGAAAGAAACTGAATGAAATAGATAGATAGATAGATAGATAGATAGATAGATAGATAGATAGATAGATGGCTGAGATGGAAAGAAACTGAGATAGATAGATAGATACATAGATAGATAGATAGATAGATAGATAGATAGATAGATAGATAGATAGATAGATAGATGGAAACAGTTTTACATAGATACTAGGTGCGATTAATAAATTTTCGTCTGAATTACGCAAAAAATTAAAATAATACTGACATCTTGTGTTAACAGATATGTTTAACAAAATTGCACAAAAGTATTTTGAAATACTAAAGACTAAATCCATTCAATAAAATCGCCATTGGCTTCAACCATGGCCACCAGACGACCTCCGAATCTCCTGCATCACTTCTGAACGTTCCCCTTGTTTAAGTTGGTTAATGCTGCAATAATCCTTGTCTTCAGCACATATTTGGTGTTACAAGAAGTTTCGTTGATCTCTCGCTCAACTGCCCCCCACACATAATAATCAAGGGGGTTGTAGTCTAGGTGGGATGGGGCCAGATGTAAGGGTTGATGTGGTCGCAGAAATTGTCTGACGGCCATGACTGGGTTCTCCTGCTTTTATGACATGGTGCAGTTCTGTTGCCAGACATTGGGTCTTCCAGCAGCAACCATCTTGCCCTAGAGCAGCCTCCTCAAGGCAGTTAATGTAGGCCTGTTTGTTGAGTCTGAGGCCCTCACCAAGAAATTCGTTTTTTTTCCTTCTTAGAACAATAAAATTGAGTGTCTGAGCTACCGTACCTTCGTAATCACCATTAGACTCATCTCTTTCCGAATCCTCTGCACTGTCCTCATATTAACACATAAAACCTGTGAAATGTTCGTATTAGAGCTTCCGGCATGAATGCCAAGCAGTTTCCAAATTTCTGGAGGAGTGAATTGCGTCATGGTGTTCTTTTTCTCACTGATGGTGCCTAACTGACCCTTCTATGTTGGGCAGTCGACAAAAAAAAAAAAAAAACAACATACCTGCGCGAAATAAAATGGCGACAAATAACCCATCGCATTTGTACATATGAACAGACTGAGATAGCTAGCTAGCTAGATAGATTGAACAGGTTGAAATAGATAGCTAGATATGGACATATTGATATAGATAGACAGATACATAGATAGATAGATGATAGATAATGAATATATATATATATATATATATATATATATATATATATATATATATATATATATATATATATATAAAGATATTTTGTAGGTGCAAAATTTAATGATCGAAATAAAAGTATAAAATTTAATATTACTAGACATATAAAATATAAAAATAAAAAAAAAAACTACAAGGGATTGGGGGAAAAAAAATTCCCCAATTCCTTTTATTGTACATTTTTCTGTATTAATTTTAAATCTCCCGTTGAAGCCTGAAGAGCGGGATCGAAACCGGTTGCTTTCCCCTCGTAGTTGTTTTTTTTTCTTTTTAATGTCTTGTAATATTAAATTTTATTCTTTTATTTCGATATATATATATATATATATATATATGTATTCAGAGAGAAAAACTGGGAGTTAAAATAAGGCGATAGAAAGATAGATACTTATGTTTATAAGCTTAATTCATTTTGAGATAGATAAATATGAACAGATTGAAATAGCTATATATGGACAAATGAGATAGATGATAGATAATGATATATATATATATATATATATATATATATATATATATATATATATATATATATATATATATATATATATATATATATATATACAAAAAGAGAGAGACTGGGAGTTAAAAATAGGGCGATAGAAAGATAGATACTTATGTTTATAAGCTTAATTCATTTTGGTACGAGATGTCAATTTCAGCGTTTCAAATGAGGGTAGAACTCCGTACACTAGTAATGGTCTGTTAGACAGATTTGATCACTCACTGATCAATGTCAAAATTGATGCCAACCGGATTGATCTAAACATAGGACAATCTTTCGTTCCGCCAAAACTGACTGGAGTCATTTCGGATTTTGCATCGATAAAGTTCCTTTCTCATCATTCTTCAAAATTAAAAACTCCCAAAGAGTCTTCCTTCTCCCCGAATGTAACCAGTCTGTCCAACTTCCCTACTGTGATAGCGATATCAATTCATTCCCGACCGGTCCCTGAATTCGCTCAAGGCAAGCATTCCACCGAGATTCGTATCCAGACCACTAGACTTCATGGATTCAGGTCTTTCGATATGTCTAGGAACTTCTCGAGCTGTGAGAGAGATAACCACTCCCGACCAGACTGCTCCTACACACATGTATGCATAACTCTCCGGCTTTCAATCCTTAGCTATGTGGAGAGAAATGGACAGTTCCTCGGACATCCTAGAGACACCAGTGACAAGGATCTCGTCGTCATTTTATCCTCGTGTAGTCGGGGCTTTCAATACGTCTCGCAAATTCTCTGCTCAGAGAGAGATATCAATTTACTCCCGACCAAACTGATCCTACACGCGTGAATAGATCTCTCCGTCTTTCGATGCCATAATATGTGGAGGGAGTTGGTCAGGCGATCCATTCCTTAGGGTTCCTAAAGACACCGGAGGCAAGGATCTCATCGGCATTTTATCCTGACCACTAGTCTTCGTGGAGTCAGGGCTTTCGATAAGTCTCGGAAATTCTCAAGCTTTGAGAGAGATATCAATTCTCTCCATACTAGGCTGCTACTACACGCATGTATGGATATCTTTCTGGTTTTCAATACTTAGCTATGTGGAGAGGATATTCTTTATATACTGGTCTTCGTCATTTTATCCGGACAACTATGTGAAGAGAAAATTCTCTGCTCTGAGATGATATCTATTTATCCTCGACCAAACCGCTCAATTTAAATCCCCTGATATGTGGAAAGAACTGGTATACTAAAGACACCAGCGACAAGGATCTCATCGTCATTTTATCCGGACAACTAGTCTTCGTGAAGTCGGGGCTTTCAATACGTCTCGGAAATTCTCTGCTCAGAGAGAGATATCTGTTTATCCCCGACCAAACCGCTCCGTATTTAAATCCCCTGATATGTGGAAAGAACTGGTCAGGTTAGAGAGATCCTAAAGACACCAGCGACAAGGATCTCATCGTCATTTTATCCGGACAACTAGTCTTCGTGAAGTCGGGGCTTTCAATACGTCTCGCAAATTCTCTGCTCTGAGAGAGATATCTATTTATCCCCGACCAAACCGCTCCGTATTTAAATCCCCTGATATGTGGAAAGAACTGGTCAGGTGAGTTGTTCCTCAGAAATCCTAAAGACACCAGCGACAAGGATCTCATCGTCATTTTATCCGGACAACTAGTCTTCGTGAAGTCGGGGCTTTCCGTCTCGGAAATTCTCTGCTCAGAGAGATATCTGTTTATCCCCGACCAAACCGCTCCGTATTTAAATCCCCTGATATGTGGAAAGAACTGGTCAGGTTAGCTGTTCCTCAGAGATCCTAAAGACACCAGCGATCTCGTCGTCATTTTATCCGGACAACTAGTCTTCGTGAAGTCGGGGCTTTCAATACGTCTCGCAAATTCTCTGCTCTGAGAGAGATATCTATTTATTCCAAACCGCTCCGTATTTAAACCCTGATATGTGGAAAGAACTGGTCAGGTGAGTTGTTCCTCAGAGATCCTAAAGACACCAGCGACAAGGATCTCATCGTCATTTTATCCGGACAACTAGTCTTCGTCACAATACGTCTCGAAATTCTCTGCTCTGAGAGATATCTATTTATCCCCGACCAAACCGCTCCGTATTTAAATCCCCTGATATGTGGAAAGAACTGGTCAGGTTAGCTGTTCCTCAGAGATCCTAAAGACACCAGCGACAAGGATCTCATCGTCATTTTATCCGGACAACTAGTCTTCGTGAAGTCCGTCTCGGAAATTCTCTGCTCTGAGAGAGATATCTATTTATCCCCGACCAAACCACTCCGTATTTAAATCCCCTGATATGGGAAAGAACTGGTCAGGTTAGCTGTTCCCTCAAGATCCTAAAGACACCAGCGACAAGGATCTCGTCGTCATTTTATCCGGACAACTAGTCTTCGTGAAGTCCTTTCAATATGTCTCGCAAATTCTCTGCTCTGAGAGAGATATCTATTTATCCCCGACCAAACCGCTCCGTATTTAAATCCTGATATGTGGAAAGAACTGGTCAGGTTAGCTGTTCCTCAGAGATCCTAAAGACACCAGCGACAAGGATCTCGTCGTCATTTTATCCGGACAACTAGTCTTCGTGAAGTCGGGGCTTTCAATACGTCTCGCAAATTCTCTGCTCTGAGAGAGATATCTATTTATCCCCGACCAAACCGCTCCGTATTTAAATCCCCTGATATGTGGAAAGAACTGGTCAGGTTAGCTGTTCCTCAGAGATCCTAAAGACACCAGCGACAAGGATCTCGTCGTCATTTTATCCGGACAACTAGTCTTCGTGAAGTCGGGGCTTTCAATACGTCTCGGAAATTCTCTGCTCAGAGAGAGATATCTGTTTATCCCCGACCAAACTGCTCCGTATTTAAATCCCCTGATATGTGGAGAGAACTGGTCAGGTGAGCTGTTCCTCAGAAATCCTAAAGATACCAGAGGCAAGGATCTCATCGGCATTTTATCCGGACGCCTAGTCTTCGTGGAGTCGGGGCTTTCAATACCTCTCGGAAATTCTCTGCTCAGAGAGAGATATCTGTTTATCCCCGACCAAACTGCTCCCCCCTGATATGTGGAGAGAACTGGTCTGAGCTGTTCCTCAGAAATCGAGGCAAGGATCTCATCGGCATTTTATCCGGACGCCTAGTCTTCGTGGAGTCGGGGCTTTCAATACCTCTCGGAAATTCTCTGCTCAAAGAGAGAGATATCTATTTACCCTCGACTGAACTGCTCCGTATTTAAATCCCCTGATATGTGGAGGGAACTTTTCAGGTGATCTGTTCCATAATTTACTCCCGACCGAACTGCTCCTACACGCGTAAATGGATACCTCTCCGTCTTTCGATCCCATAATATGTGGAGGGAGTTGGTCAGGTGATCCAATCCTTAGAGATCCTAAAGACACCGGAGACAAGGATCTCATCCGTACATTTTATACGGACCACGACTCTTCGTTGAGTCAGGGCTTTCAATAAGTCTTGGAAATTCTCTGCTCCGAGAGACATATCAATTTACTCCCGACCAGACTGCTCCCACTCCTTCTTCCCCAGCTCTAGTTCGACGTTCCAACGGGACGTCGGGTGATTGCCTCGTAGCTGACCCAGTAATCGATAATCTAAATTAACAGCACCATTTGTTTACAACAAGTAAACAAGGTAATTAATTGATTTGCAAAGCGTCATATCGATCCGTATTGATCTAGCAAACTGATGTTGCCGTTTCTTTTATCGGTTAAGTTTGCATTGGTTTCCTCTCAATGAATCAGCTTTACGTATGAACCGGACCCTAATATCGTCTTTTTCTTCCCTATGATGTTTGACTATCATTACTATCATTTATCTTTCCGATTAAGAATCTTTTCTACTTGCTTTCAGGAGCCGGTGAATATTTCGCAGCCAAATATAAGATTTATATATTTAAGATTTCGCTAATTATCTGGAAATAATCGTCCTGGGTATGACGATAAACTGTATCTGGCAGTAATGCCTTTGATTGGGACGTTTAATTGTTGTTGGTCCCACGTCGAGCCTGACCGCATCTGTTAGGGCCCCAACTATCGACAAAGAGTGAACCCCGAAACTGGGATCAAAACATGAAAATATGAAAATGTAATTAGAAAAAAAATTACCAGCAATATATTTGGTGTGGATATCACCAAAGCTTACAAGAAAAGAATGTTTCGACATTAAATGACCCATAAGGGGTTGATGTGCCGCTAAGCCAACAAACCAAACCATCTGGAAATAACTCGTTATATACAGGAGGAATTAGAGATTTACAAGCAAGGAATAATGAAATCTTTTGCTCCAGTAACAGAAGGATTTAATCATATAGATTCATAGAGCCGTTATTCAGTCATTTTCAGTTTTGTATGGCTTGTTCTCCTTACTTTTTGGTAGGGTGTGGCAAAACTTTCGGATCACCCTGTACAATCGGCAGCAAGGCCTCTGATCTGGAGTTTGGAGGTTTTGAGGAGCATAGAACCATCACTTAATCGCTGTTGTTCCCAGGTCTACTCTGACCCAGGTGGTAGCACCTGTTATTATAGTAAAATGGCCATCAGCAGGTTTTATTCGACAGTCAGTTTTTTTTTTTCGTCCTGGGTATGACGATAAACTACATCCGGCTGCAAAGCCTTTGATCGTTAGATTTTGAGGAGCGTGGAATCATCTCTTAATTGCTGTTGTTCACAGCTCCACCCTGACAGAGGAAATACCACAGAGTAGAATCCCATCTATGGCCAAATATTGAACCGCAAATAAAAACAAACAGTTCAGTTTTAGAATAAAATGAGCCGACAATACATTTTGATTGTAAAATAACAATCAATGCAACACTAAACAAAAATATTAAAAAAAAATTTTTATAGTAAAAATAGCAACAATAGATTAGATGATCTACAAAATATATACATCTAAAAAAACATACCTTTACTCAGAAAGGATAAAATTATGCACAAATTATGTAGAATTCGGTATTAAATGACCCTCAGAGGTTGATATGTCACTAAACAAAACCAAGCAACCAACATGAAAGAACTTTTTCATATATAATATCTTAAAAATCGAACTGTATTCCAAAATATAACTTCATCAAAACTACAACATAAAACACACAGATCACAACCTCTAGTAATTATGTCCACACAAACATGTATATACGCAAAAGCAGAGCATCCTCTACCATGTATTCAGCTGTGAAAGCAGAATAACATATATATTTTCTTTCTTCAAGAAACCCTACTAGACAGGGTAGTAGAAGAAAATGAGAAACAAAAAAAAAGGATTAACTGTCAATTGCAAGAAGACAGAAAGTTTGATCATTAGCAAAAGAAAAAGCCCAAAGAATAAGGAGTTGATATGCTGTTAAATCAAATAAGTCACTTTAGATATTTTTGATTGAATTTGTTTTTTACGGCTTATCAACCTCTTTCTGGTTATTTAAAGCCAGAAAATATATTTTAGATTATAAGAATTTTTATGGATGTAAAAATGATACTAGTCTTAATAATTAGCCCATAGTTGGGGTGGCGAGAAAAGATGGATTCATACCTTTCCCAAGGTGTTTGCGTGTAAGGCAATATAAACGATTCCGATTGGAATTGGAACTCGGCTCTCCGATTTCCAATTCAAAGTCGTCATCTATTACACCACTCGCACATCCAAGCTTACAGACAAAAATCCTATATACGTGTCGCTTCATAGCGTCATGTTCCTCTCCATTTTTAAGAAGACAGAAAGTATGGTCGCCAGCAACAGAAGAAAAAAAAAGCCCATGCTGTGAGTTACACTTTGTGGGATTAGGGTATGAACGTCTAGCAGGTGCTGAAGTTCAAATATTCTGGGAAGTGTCCGAACAGCGATTAGGCTGAGAAAAATGAATTCCAAAAGG